TGGCCCGTGTCCACCCCCCCCCCCCCAAATCCTTTCTCCTCCCTCCCCTTCTCCTGCAGGTCAACGCCCTGGATGGCTACAACCGAACAGCCCTTCATTACGCGGCGGAAAAGGACGAAACCTGCGTGGAAATCCTCCTGGAGTACGGGGCCAACCCCAACGCGCTGGACGGCAACAAGGACACCCCGCTCCACTGGGCCGCCTTCAAGAACAACGCCGAGTGCGTGCGGTCGCTGCTGGAGAACGGCGCCTTGGTGAACGCCCGCGATTACAACAACGACACGCCGCTCAGCTGGGCGGCCATGAAGGGTAACCTGGAGAGCGTCAGCATCCTGCTCGACTTCGGGGCCGAGGTCCGGGTGGTTAATTTGAAAGGCCAAACCCCCATCTCGCGGTTGGTGGCCTTGCTGGTTCGGGGATTGGGTACGGAGCGCGAGGATTCCTGCTTCGATCTTCTCCATCGAGCTATCGGACATTTTGAGCTGAGAAAAAACGGCAGCATGCCCTGGGAGGTGACCAGGGATCAGCAGCTCTGCGAAAAGCTCACCCTGCTCTGCTCGGCCCCCGGTACCCTACAGACGCTGTCGCGTTACGCCGTGCGCCGCAGCCTGGGCGTGCGGTTCCTGCCGGAGGCGGTGAAGCAGCTGCCCTTGCCCACCTGCCTGAAGGAGTACGTGTTGCTCCTTAGCTAAGCGAAAGACCAGGCGGCGGGGCTCTTCCCGCGCCGGCGTTCGGCTCCCTTCATCACCGCTTCCTCGCGGCAGCGCCGGGAATGAGGTTGACGGCTTGGTTTGGGACTCGCGGGTGCCGGATTCCCCTCCCCGGTCGCCGTCCCGGTTTTCCTCCTGCTCTGCTTTTCCGCCTGAGCCGGCGCAGGGCAGCGGGGATCCACCGGCGCCGTTCGCAGACGGCTCCGTGTTGTCTCTCTGCCCACAGCGCCCGCTCGGCGGCTCCTCCCACGCGCTCTCCCTATGATTTCGGCCCTCATGAGATAACCATCCCTCTTTAATGGCAAATTATATCCCAGCTGTTGGATTAACCTGGTTTTTTTTTCCCTTTTTTTTTTTTGCGTTGGGGCCGACCTTGGGGAAAGGAAGGCTTTCTAGGTGTGGGGAGAACGGGGAAACCCTCCTTCTTTGAAGGACCTGAGGCAGGAAATCAAGAGGAGGTGTTGTCGGACCCGGAGAAGTCCCGCGGGACGCGTCGGCTGGAAGTCCGGTGGAAAAGCCCGCCGTAAGCGCTTTTCGCCAGCCTGTACGTTGCGTAACGGTGCGGGCTGGCGCCTTCGCTCGGCGCTGACACCCGCACGCAGCCACGGCGTCGTCCCCCCCCCCCCGCAAAACCCCC